AAAAAAAAAAAAGATGGTGTGAGAAAAAGTGAGTAAAATAGAAGATTTTTTTTTTATGAATGGATAAAATATATTTTAAATTGTGAGTATTCATACATTAGAATGTATAAAATTGGTGTAAAAATGAGTATTAAAATAATGTAAATGAAAATATGATTAAATGAATAGTGAAGTCTGTTTAAAATGTTTTAACTGATTAATTTTTTATTGTTTTATTATATTGATAAAATTGAGTAAAAAATAAAACTAGATAAACAGTAGTTTTTTTAAATTATATTTTTCATTAGAAATAATAATTATATCCAAAGATTATATTTTATCATTTCCCTTTTTTTGTTTCATTTCATATTTAATATGGAAAGAGCAAAATTTAATTCCAACCTAAGATTGTCCAAACAAAAAGAACTTGATTTTTTTTTTTTTTTTGTCAAACAGTAAATATATTAAAAACTGAAAAACTCAAAACGAGTATAATACCCGAAGTGTCAACTGACACCATAAAAACCAACACCAAGGTTGGATCCACAAACTTAGAAAAGAACTGAAAAGGAACTTGATTCTCAATGCATGTATTTGGTTACAATTCAGATACACCATCTATCAATCATTATTCATTACCCAGTCCATAACTGAACCCAATGACTGATACATGGTACAAAAATAATATGCTTGTAAGTTTGTAACATAATAACATTAGGTAAAAAATTATCTGTATAAAACCAAAGGAGTTGATAGACCACCACATTCAAGTCACCCTCTTGACACGAAAATCTCACCTCGAGCAGCATGAGAAGGCACCCGTATTTTGCTTTGACGGGTCAGTCCCATTTGCAAGGCTGACCCTGTTCACGGACAACTCAGCCTTGTAAGAATCTGAGTTGAGAATCTTGCGACTCACCTTGTCGAAAATCTCCCGAATTACTGTCTCAAAGGCATTGTACACGTTTGTGGAGTCGAGTGCGGATGTCTCAATGAAGAACAATCCTTCTTCCTCGGCAAGTGCTTTACCCTCTTCCAAACTCACCTCTCGTATGTCCTCCAAATCGCACTTGTTCCCGACTAACATCGTGGCTACAGTAGTGTCGCAATGGGCTGCACGGTTATATGAAAATTAAAATGGTTGAAACAATATATTGTTATGACGGGGTGAGACCCATATCCAGTCCGGGTTGGTCATTCGAATCGGTTTGAAATTAGACCAGTGGAGATCCAAACCGACCCGGTTGACCTGATTCACTTCGTTCAACTACTAGTTTACCAAACAACTTTTTGATATTTTCATTTTTAAGAACAAAATATTTGCGTATATAGTCATGTGAGAAGTATTTATGATGAGTAGATTCAGAATGTGTTTGGTAAACACAGTAAACTAACTTATAGCTCATTCAGTTAGTTTATAAGCTTCTTACACTCAAACTTAAAAAGCTAGAGCTCATCTTACAAGCTTCATTGAGTAGCTTTTTCAGTAAGTCTATTGAAAATTTTATTTCAGCTATCTTACCAACTATTTTACCAAATATTTTTATCATATAAGCTAGTTTTTTAGCTATTAGTCATAAGCTAGCTTTTTAGCTATTAGTCGTAAGCTAACTTATTAACTATTTCACTAAATATTTTATCATATAAGCTAACTTTGTAGCTATAAGTCATAAGCTATCAGCCATAAGTTCGAAATTCATTTATAAAGCTATCTTGAGTTATAAACTTTATGTGTAAATTGTTTATTATTTATTTTTATACGAACATATAAGAAAAAAATAATATATAAAAAAATTTAAATGATTTAAATTACTTATCCGTTCATCAAATCACCAATTATGTCATCGCCCGGATGCGAAAACACTAGATTGAAATAGTATATGTTATTTTTCTCCTTAAAATTTACAAAAATTACCTACACCACCTTATTAGCGTTTGCCAACAAATCTACTTATCATCTACACCTTCATGCATCCATTAACTACATATGTGAAGGCATATTTTGACTTTCAGGTTGGAGAGTTTGTTGTGTTTCCAAATCTTTTACTATCCCAACAGTCTTATTAATGACATTAATAATAAGGACCAATTGATCCAAGATGTCACTAGCAACTTTAATAAGTGATAAATCAAATGGGACATCAAAAGCTAAAATAAGGCCAAGCTCTTCTAAATTCTAATGCACCTTATGCACACCAAGAAAAAAACAATTATTAGGCTTGTCATACACATAACATAAGTAGTATTAATGTGAAGAAAATATTTATAATTTAGGTGTTTAATCAACGTTTTTAAACTCAGATCGGTTTTCAATCCAACAAATTTTTGTGTGAGTCAATCTAATGGTAAGACGGATCGATAGTGTATTTATTATATCAAATATCATACTTGTACTATTTTTTAAAGTGACATTTTCTAATCAAAGTATGTACTGATTGAAAAACATGTCCGCTTAATGATTAGAACAGCCTGGTACAAAACTTATTACTGCAATTTATCGGGTCATTGGTGAAATAGATTAAACAAAATCAATCCAGGTCAAAATTTTTGAATCCGGGTCACGGGGTTTTACCGGTTTCGACCAAGACAAATGGGGTTTACAGCGACCCGATCATATTCCAAAACCGGCCCGGCTTAGATCAATCAAATATTCAGAGAATAACAAAAATCGAAGACGAAAAAAAGGAGAAGAGGAAGACGACGTACTATTGAGCTCATCGAGCCATCGCTTGATGTTCTCGAATGTGGCCTTGCGGCTGATGTCGTAGACGACGAGAGCCCCGACGGCGCCGCGGTAATAGGCGGAGGTGACGGCGCGGAAGCGCTCCTGGCCGGCGGTGTCCCAGACCTGGGCCTTGACCTCCTTGCCGTCGACCTCCATCAGCTGCGTCTGGAACTCGACGCCGATCGTCGCCTTCGAGTGGTGGTCGAACTCGTCCCGGGCGAACCGCGATAGCAGGTTCGATTTTCCGACCGCCGAGTCGCCGATCACCACTATCTTGAACAGGTACTCTTCCCCATTTTCTTCACCCATCGGAGATTTTGTTCTGGATTTGGGGATTTGGGAATATTGTTTTCGCTTGGCTGTGTGTGTGTGTGTGTGTTTTGTGTGAGTGTATGTTTGGGGGAAACAGACGCGGTAAGGTGAAAAGGTTGTATTTTATTTTATTTTAGTTTATTTGTGTAATTGAATTTTTTATTTTGTGATATGTATAGTATTAATTAAATATCATACTAGAAAAAATGTATAAATGAAAAGTATGAACATTTCATAGTCTAAATATATATAAATATGTATAATTTAAGGTGAAATTTCATATGTTAAAAAATTATGCATAAATAATATTATGACATTTTTATAGTATGTGTTTGGTTTATTTTGTTTGATTTGATTTTGTGGGATTTTAATTGAAAAGGGGGGTGTGGAGAGTTGACTATGGTGGACTGACTGCGTGATTTTCGCTTGATAGATTGACTATTGTGTTAATTTTGTCATGTTCGTGTAATTAGTTTTTGACTTCTTTGAGATTAAGGAAATTGTCGGAATCTACTCGATTTGACAAGGAAAAATATATATTACTATTGAGAATGTGAAAATTTGAATTTTCTTAATTCTGAGAGGGATTTGTAGGGTGAAGTTTGATATAAATTTTTTAAGAAATAATAAATTCAATAGTAAAAAAATATTATTAAAAATGGAAAATTAATGGTCGTTAAATAGTAATTGGATGAACATTGAATTTTGATAAGATATTTGTAGTAATTTACTTATATTTTTCAATGTAATTATGAGATTTTAAAAATATTGTTAAAAATATCCACTCACATATAAAATTACGAAAAAAATCAACAAGATTAAACTGAATGTAATTTATTGAAATTCCTAATTTCCTATTTTGGTTGGGCTAGACAATTGAGGGTAAAAAATAATTTGAGAATTGTTGCAATAACTTTTGCCATGGGTTGTTGGGCCGAACTCGTTTGGACTTATAATTTTTCTTAATGATTTAAATGGGCCTGGTGATCCCAACCTGTACAGGCTCTTCGATTTTTCATCTTGAGGCTGGTCTGGTGGTTCCTGGGCCTTTCACAGGTATTCCCACAAAGGATAATTAATTGGAAATTTGGATTGAACTGGTCAAAGTACAATTGGGATTAGGACATGCACATCAAAGAAGAATCAAAGAAGATACGGTCAAAGTCGTCCATTATATTAAATATTGGCGAAAATCGAAAAATGTGGTCCCTAGTTTCATCTAATTGCGGATAACATGTGATCCAAGACAAGTTGGCGGACTCGGTTTTGTTATGGAATCATCGGATGACTCAGTTTATGGAGTCATCTATAATTATCCACAAATGATATACTGATACGTGTCATACAATAAATACACATTTTACACGTTTCAGTACATAAAATTATGGATGACTCCATAAGAAAGAATCTGATGGCTCCCTAGCATTTCTGTAGGTGGACTATCTCTCTAATCTATAAAAATTATATTATTGGTGGAGTATAATTTATTTCATAAATATAGTGATTAGTACATAAATTATGCAATTTATATTGCTCATTTTTACTGATTGTTAAAATTTTAAACTTTAATATATTCATTATCTAACTTATAAATTTAAATGTTATATACATAAACATAAAATTAAATATTATATTTGAAGCAATGGATGACCGTATTTATAAAAAAATTGTGGATAACTTAGGAGTGACGTGTGCGAACACTACCGGTTCAATTCATCCCACTCACCAAGTGCCCTTCCATTGTAAACTCCAAATTACAAGGTCAACAAAATCCGCTTCAAAAAAACAAAACAAAA